AAAGGGTGTGGGCCCAATTACCACAGAAGTTGCTTGTAATCCATGCAGAAGCCAATTTGTTTGTTTGACTGCAGACCACAGAGGATTTCATAATGTGATTTTAATGGCTGTTTTACTGTATATTCTACTATATGGTCTACTAATAACCTCCTTAAAGTGTATATTCATTTGAATTGTACCTATTTGTATTTGTATGTGTATTTTTGGACAGCTTACTGCTCTAGTAGATACTGTATGGGTGTTTGATAAGGGTGCCTAAGTCCCCGTCTATTTATAATCTGGTCAGAGGCTACCCTATTTTTCAATGAATCCATTTGAATCCGGTCAAAGCTTCGCTTATTTCTTGGACGAATCCAGTCAGTGGATCACTTATTTGAACGTATCCGGTTGGTGATTTTGGACTAACACATGAAGAAACTACTGGAAAACTATTTAACAGAGTAATATGTGATCAGTTTGATACAAAAGTATAACTTGCGCGTTGGAGAAAAGTGATTTCTGGCAGCTCCTACTCTGACGAACGGTCGAGACTTCTACCCCTTTTTTACAGCCTGAAGGTTTTGGTGCTTATAGATCACTGTATTTAGCTTTTCTAGATTTTTTCCACCTCCACCATGCTATGTTATCACTATAGTATTCTGGTCAAGATTACTGGAGGAATATTTGCTTTTACTGGAGTAATATTTGCTTTTTGTTGTGTATATTGTTGTAAATGTTCACTGATAACTATACACTGTTTATCGTATTTCTACAAAACTGCACGCTTTTTGTATTTCCTCAAGATTTTGCACCTTTTCGTATTTTAACCCCTTCAGGGTCCAAGGCCCAAATCTGAAGTGGTGCCCCAGTGTCCAAGAATTTTCAAAAAAAAAAATTTGTTATTTTTTCTTATGAAATGGTAGAGAATCTTTTTGTGAAGGTAATAAAACAAAAAGTACGAAATTTGATGGAAAATTGATGAAATCATGCTCTCGCAAATTTTGATGTGTCAGCGATATTTACGAATCGGCGATTTTGCCGACTTTGACTCCCATTTTAGGCCAATTACATTATTCCAGTCAACCAAATTCTTAGCTATTTCACTAGTATTACTTCCATTCTATCGATTGAGCACAAGAAATCGCCAAGTCAACTGTTTCAACTACAAATTAAAGTGATCGGAAATTGTTAATTTGGCCAATTTAACACAAAGTTCAAAATATTCCAATTTCAAAATAGGGTCCAGAATAAACAATGTAGGTATTCCTGGAACTAAACTAGCATTTCCTCTGTTCATTAGTTACGTTCTGAGGCTTTACAAATAAATTCCATTTTGATTTTTTGTTCACATAATGAATTTTTATTCACACCAAAAAATAGAAGATTTACTGTTATACAATACTGTAATAATTGTATAAATATCATCACCATATTTGTGAATGCATATTAGACCCACCAGCTGGCGTGTATTAGACTTGTGAGGTTGTTTCTTTACTCTTGAATATCGGCAAAAATTTAACATTTCTGCTACTTTTAGCTCAGTTTCAAGCCATTTCCAGTGCTAAAGCCAATCAAAATCATCTCTATTTCTGTAATATGTCTTCCATTCTATCGAATGAGACCAAGAAATCGCAAATAGAACTATAAAAAACATACGAAAAACACTGCAAAGTGTTTTTCGTATGTTTTAATCGAAAAATCATGATTTCAGTTTTTTTCTCTCATTATACACAGCGTGCTGCAGGATCTGTTTTATGTGGTGCACACATACCACATAAATGTATTCTCTCATATCTAGGCCCAAATGTACCACTCACAGTTTATCAGAGTGAGCTGAGCTCATGACGTAGATCTATGGTTTGGACCCTGAACGTAAAGCCGTAGATCTACGGGACGGACCCTCAAAGGGTTAATAGGATTTTTTTTCTCAATGGTATCATTAGGTTATAGGCGAGGTACACTAGCAGGCTAGGAAGATTATTAAAACAGTTGACTTGCGTGGTAGGCCTCTGGCGACTGCTGGCAACCTGCTTCTTGAGGCCTAACACTTCAGTTTTAAATTGCACCTTATCATTTATTATATACTACAGTACCACTATGGTATACACTATAATACTTTGATAAATTAGACACATGTGCAACTCTTGGGTATCTTTATTGAGGAAACGTTTCGCCACACAGTGGCTTCATCAGTTCATACAAAGGAGAAACGTGAGGAACAGGAGGAGAATGAGGTAATCAGTCCCTCAACCTTGAGTCGATGCGGTCAGTCTATCAATCTTCAGTCCATCAATCGACTCAAGGTTGAGGGACTATTACCTCATTCTCCTCCTGTTCTTCACGTTTCTCCTTGGTATGAACTGATGAAGCCACTGTGTGGCAAAACGTTTCCTCAATAAAGATACCCAAGAGTTGCACGTGTCTAATTTATCAAAGTGTCGGTTGTCTGAACCATTCATCTACAACTATAATACTTTGCATACACATTATTATCAGGGAGACTGTCTTTCCTCTGGCAAAAAATGTTCTATTATTATTTTGCACATGGCACGCTAGGCCTATAGTTCCCCTCTGGGAGTATACTCTGCTAGGTATTGCACACTAATTCTCCTTTTTTGGCTCAATATATACTATTTTCTCCCCAAGACTAGTTCCAAGCGCTGGAGGGATGTATCTTATAAGGTCACTGACACAGTTTATAGTTCTAGCACACATGAGAGAGAGTGATAATCACGAAAAAACACAAAGCACGACAGAGCACACGGACCTCGTCACTTGTGACGAGAAATAATATATCATTCATCTTTGCAAAAATACAAAGTTTTAATTTAAACCAAGCAATAATAACAAAATTTCTTAAAAATTTACCTCCTCACCAAGTCAAATGAAGTGTCTGCTTTACAAAGACAAAAATAAATGCTACCAAGACTATAGTCTGGATACTGTTTTAGTCATATCAAATTCAACCAAATGAACAGACTACAATTAAGGGTTGCTCTGTATGTTAAAAACCCATTCCTTTGCAAAAAGCTGCTAAACATCTCAAAGGATTCAGTTTAACGTCTACCACTGAAGTTCAAATTTAGCCACTGTTCTGCTGTGCAACCCACCAAATGCAAATTTATTTCAGTTTAAAAATAAGTTAATGGAAAATTTAACAATGCTTCAAAAACCTCAAACTCCATCAGAATTATTTGGTTTGGAGATTTCAGTTTAAAACAAATAAAATGAAAATGTAAAAAGTCCCAGGAGGTAAATTAAGTCATATAAGAGCAAATTATTATGACACTACAACCAGTAATAAAATAAACTAGTACTGGAAAATATTATTAGACTTATATTTACCAATAATGATGAAAGGACATGAAACACAACAGTAGTAAATGCACTGAACACTGACCTTAATCAAAACGAAGGTCAAACCTGAATAGACATCACCTGAACAATCTAACACAAATCATCACAAAGATTTATTTTCAACAAGCCAGCCATCTCCTACCAAAGTAGGATGACCACAAAAGTAAACAGAAACCATCATTCATTCCATAGCTTCCATGTCAGAAGTGAACAAATATTATAATATAAATGAGCCTCCAATCTGTAACATCCCAAAATTTTCTTCAAAATGCAGACCTTCATTCAAGTCAATATAGGATCATTTCAACTTGCTTCTGTGTGATTATGCAATAGGCGATTTTAAATGCAAGCTGATGCTTATCGCTCTCAGAATCCCCATGCTTTATAAAAGGTAAACACAAAAACCACGTTGCATGTTAAATGACAATTCAACAAGACAGCATAGATGAGTGGGGTGCTGTTTATTGACTGGTTCAAGAATATTTTATTCCTTCGGTCTATCATTCTAGATAATTCCACAACTCTTGCAATGTGCGGACCCAAATGTGTGGGTTGTTTTATCTACCAAACATGACAGTAATGTAACCACTGGACCAAGAAGTGATTAAGATATTTAAGTGCCCTTAAACATAAAAGTTGGTGCAGAATCTCCTCATAGCAATGGATAAAAGTGCAGAAACTGTAGTGCAAGAATTCTGCAAAAGTTTAACATTGCAGATGTAACACTTAACATAAAACTTACAAAATGAAGTACACTATCCAAAAATACAGGTTGGAGAAAATTATGGTCCACTGCTGTGAACAATTTCACAGATTCTTTCCTTGATAGACAGTAAGGTGCAGGTAATGGCTCTAGCAAGGAAAGCGCCAGGTGAGGGCTTCAAAGATATGCAGGCAGATATAAAAGGACTACTTACAAGATGATATACATGAGCATCTTAGATAATGATACTGAATAAATGAACATCTTAGATGGAGAAGAAAAAACTGCAGAAGAAATGTTGAAGCTCAATTCCTAAATGGAAGGGAGGAAGATAACAGTGAGGTAGAACCTGGAGATAACCAATTAACACTACAACAGTTACACGAGCAGTTCAGTGCTGTTGGTAACAATGCAGACTACTTCACTGGAGGGCCATGACACCTCTAGAAGCACACCTGTGAAGCAGAGCAGGCTATTATGCCATGTCATCCTTTGTATAAAGTACTGAAGGGAAAATAGACCAGACACCTTACACTTACAGAATACCTAAATTCCAGTACAACCACCAAATACTGACACCTTTGCATCAACATCAACCCAAAAACCACAGCCATTCACCACAGATCAGAAGTCCCATGACACTTTTTCATGCCTTTCAAGATCAACATGACCAACAACTAGAACTTAACACACAAAAGCTTTACATAATCATTTTAGCTACAATACATAAATTGTACTTTATATACAACTCACTAAATTACTATTTGTGTAGATTTACGAGACCCAAAAGAACGTGATTGGCTTCTCTTAAAGTGTCAGGAACACAATCCAATTTTTCCTACATTCTTTAGTTCACTTTACACGATATTGTATAAACACTTTTTCAGGAACATAACCTGGTTACTCAAGTCTACTTGTAAATAAATTGGTTTTATAACATAGTATATCAATACAAACAAACCTGAGGGAAATGGTTTGTAGCGAAGGAAGCCATCTTTCGTACCATTGAGAAAGTACTGCACAGATTCTTTGAACTTTGCAACGCGAGGATCACTGACTGATCCAAAAACTTGGGCTCCAATTGTTAACAAGTTATTTACATCACATCGATTCACAATAAACTTGACAACTGCTCGTATAACGTCCTCTTGAGGCGTCTGTTGAAAATGAAAACTTGATTAATCATTTTACATTTAATTTTTTTATTTTGACTTCAATGGCCATTTCCCACCATGGCAGGGTGGCCCAAAGAAGAAAACACATTCACCAATATTCATTCAGTCACTGTCATAACAGAATTTTTTTTTGTTTAACACGTCGGCCGTTTCCCCAAAAAGAAAAAAACCTTCAACAATCAACACTTTCACCTATCAGAAGTGTGCTGACATAATTCAAATAACGCTCCAAAGTCCTGCAACATGCCCACCCCTCCTTCAGAGCACAGGCACTGCCATTCCCATCTCAAGGACTCAGGTCCAGTTAACTAGTTTCCCCTGAATCCCTTCAGAAATGTTACTTTATTTACACTCCAACAGCATGTCCACTGAAAACCACTTCTCTCCATTCACTCCTACCTAACACACACACAAGCCTGGTGGATGCTCAAGCCTCTGAACTCAAAGCCTCCTGTGCCCCTTCCCTCCAACCACTCCTTGAATGACCCCTACTCTTCCTTAATTCCATTCCTGATTTATATTGGCAGTTTGGAGGGATATGTTGTGTATCTTTATACGTATATGCTTCTAAACTGTTGTATCCTGAGCACCTCTGCAAAAACAGTGATAATGTGTGAGTGTGGTGAAAGTGTTGAATGATGATGAAAGTATTTTCTTTTTTGGGATTTTCTTTCTTTTTTGGGCCACCCCGCCTCAGTGGGATACGGCCGGTGTGTTGAAAGAAAGAAGAAAGATATATATATATATATATAATATATATAATATAATATATATGTAGGTAGTAGGTTGGTAGACAGCAACCATCCAGGGAGGTACTACCGTCCTGCCAAGTGAGTGTAAAACGAAAGCCTGTGATTGTTTTACATGATGGTAGGATTGCTGATGTCTTTTGTCTGTCTCATAAATATGCAAGATTACAGGCATGTCTTGCTACTTCTACTTACACTTAGGTCACACTACACATACATGTACACATTTATTTATACACACTCATCTGAGTTTTCTTTGATTTTATCTTAATAGTTCTTGGTCTTATTACTTTTCCTTTTATATCCATGGGGAAGTGGAATAAGAATCTTTCCTCCATAAGCCATGCGTGTTGTAAAAGTCAACTAAAATGCCGGGAACAATGGGCTAGTAACCCCTTTTCCTGTAAAGATTACTAAAAAGAATAAGAAGAAAATTGTTTTTTTTCTTTTTTTGGGTCACCCTGCCTCGGTGGGAGACGGCCGACTTGTTGAAAAAAAAAAAAAAAAAAAAAAAAAAATTATATATATATATATATATATATATATATATATATATATTATATATATATATTTTTTTTTTTTTTTTTTTTTTTCAACAAGTCGGCCGTCTCCCACCGAGGCAGGGTGACCCAAAAAAGAAAGAAAATCCCCAAAAAGAAAATACTTTCATCATCATTCAACACTTTCACCACACTCGCACATTATCACTGTTTTTTGCAGAGGTGCTCAGAATACAACAGTCTAGAAGCATAAACATATAAAGATACACAACATATCCCTCCAAACTGCCAATATCCCAAACCCCTCCTTTAAATATATATTATATATATATATATATATATATATATATATATATATATATATATATATATATATATATAATATATATATATATATATATATATATATATATATGTATGTATGTATATAATATATAATATATATATATATAATATATATATAATATATATATATATATATATATATATATATATATATATATATATATATATATATATATATATTCTTTCTTTCTTTCAACACACCGGCTGTATCCCACTGAGGCGGGGTGGCCCAAAAGGAAAACGAAAGTTTCTCCTTTTACATTTAGTAATATATACAGGAAAAGAGGTTACTAGCCCCTTGCTCCCGGCATTTTAGTCGCCTCTTACAACACGCATGGCTTACGGAGGAAGAATTCTGTTCCACTTCCCCATGGAGATAAGGGGAAATAAACAAGAATAAGAACTAGAAAGAAAATAGAAGAAAACCCAGAGGGGTGTGTATATATATGCTTGTACATGTATGTGTAGTGTGACCTAAGTGTAAGTAGAAGTAGCAAGACGTACCTGAAATCTTGCATGTTCATGAGACAGAAAAAAAGGACACCAGCAATCCTACCATCATGTAAAACAATTACAGGCTTTCGTTTTACACTCACTTGGCAGGACGGTAGTACCTCCCTGGATGGTTGCTGTCTACCAACCTACTACCTACATATATATTATATATATTATATATATTATATATATTTATATATATATATATATATATATATATATATTTTTTTTTTTTTTTTTCTCAACAAGTCGGTCGTCTCCCACCGAGGCAGGGTGACCCAAAAAAAAAAGAAAAAATCCCAAAAAAGAAAATAATTTCATCATCATTCAACACTTTCACCACACTCACACATTATCACTGCTTTTGCAGAGGTGCTCAGAATATAACAGTTTAGAAGCATATACGTATAGAGATACACAACATATCCCTCCAAACTGCCAATATCCCAAACCCCTCCTTTAAAGTGCAGGCATTGTACTTCCCATTTCCAGGACTCAAGTATATACAGTGGACCCCCGCTTAACGATCACCTCCAAATGCGACCAATTATGTAAGTGTATTTATGTAAGTGCGTTTGTACGTGTATGTTTGGGGGTCTGAAATGGACTAATCTACTTCACAATATTCCTTATGGGAAAAAATTCGGTCAGTACTGGCACCTGAACATACTACTGGAATGAAAAAAGTTCGTTAACCGGGGGTCCACTGTATATATATATATATATATATATATATATATATATATAGAGGAATAAGCTTACTGAGTATACCAGGAAAAGTGTACGGTAGGGTTATAATTGAAAGAATTAGAGGCAAGACAGAATGTAGGATTGCGGATGAGCAAGGTTTTAGAGTGCGTAGGGGATGTGTAGATCAGGTGTTTACATTGAAGCATATATGTGAACAGTATTTAGATAAAGATAGGGAAGTTTTTATTGCATTTATGGATTTAGAAAAGGCATATGATAGAGTGGATAGAGGAGCAATGTGGCAGATGTTGCAAGTATATGGAATAGGTGGTAAGTTATTAAATGCTGTAAAGAGTTTTTATGAGGATAGTGAGGCTCAGGTTAGGGTGTGTAGAAGAGAGGGAGACTACTTCCGGGTAAAAGTAGGTCTTAGACAGGGATGTGTAATGTCACCATGGTTGTTTAATATATTTATAGATGGGGTTGTAAAGGAAGTAAATGCTAGGGTGTTTGGGAGAGGGGTGGGATTAAATTATGGGGAATCAAATTCAAAATGGGAATTGACACAGTTACTTTTTGCTGATGATACTGTGCTTATGGGAGATTCTAAAGAAAAATTGCAAAGGTTAGTGGATGAGTTTGGGAATGTGTGTAAAGGTAGAAAGTTGAAAGTGAACATAGAAAAGAGTAAGGTGATGACGGTGTCAAATGCTTTAGATAAAGAAAAATTGGATATCAAATTGAGGAGGAGGAGTATGGAAGAAGTGAATGTTTTCAGATACTTGGGAGTTGACGTGTCGGCGGATGGATTTATGAAGGATGAGGTTAATCATAGAATTGACGAGGGAAAAAAGGTGAGTGGTGCGTTGAGGTATATGTGGAGTCAAAAAACGTTATCTATGGAGGCAAAGAAGGGAATGTATGAAAGTATAGTAGTACCAACACTCTTATATGGGTGTGAAGCTTGGGTGGTAAATGCAGCAGCGAGGAGACGGTTGGAGGCAGTGGAGATGTCCTATTTAAGGGCAATGTGTGGTGTAAATATTATGCAGAAAATTCGGAGTGTGGAAATTAGGAGAAGGTGTGGAGTTAATAAAAGTATTAGTCAGAGGGCAGAAGAGGGGTTGTTGAGGTGGTTTGGTCATTTAGAGAGAATGGATCAAAGTAGAATGACATGGAAAGCATATAATCTATAGGGGAAGGAAGGCGGGGTAGGGGTCGTCCTCGAAAGGGTTGGAGAGAGGGGGTAAAGGAGGTTTTGTGGGTAAGGGGCTTGGACTTCCAGCAAGCGTGCGTGAGCGTGTTAGATAGGAGTGAATGGAGACGAATGATACTTGGGACCTGACGATCTGTTGGAGTGTGAGCAGGGTAATATTTAGTGAAGGGATTCAGGGAAACCGGTTATTTTCATATAGTCGGACTTGAGTCCTGGAAATGGGAAGTGCAATGCCTGCACTTTGAAGGAGGGGTTTGGGATATTGGCAGTTTGGAGGGATATGTTGTGTATCTTTATATGTGTATGCTTCTAGACTGTTGTATTCTGAGCACCTCTGCAAAAACAGTGATAATGTGCGAGTGTGGTGAAAGTGTTGAATGATGATGAAAGTATTTTCTTTTTGGGGATTTTCTTTCTTTTTTGGGTCACCCTGCCTCGGTGGGAGACGGCCGACTTGTTGAAAAAAAAAAAAAAAAAAAAAAAAAAAAAAACACAAATATATATAAAATATGCATATCCATTAGCTTACCTGCTGTTTGTCATAGCCTGGGATTAAAGACACATAAAAATCCCTTAGATCTGTCTCTGTAAGAAGATAATTTCCCAAGAGAGCTGCCAGCAAGCAGAAATAGTTGCGCTGAAGACCGAGTCCCTTGGCCACTTCATCTAAAATAAATTCTTTGGTCTCTAAGGAACCCTGTAACATAAAAGAAAATATTGAAATTTATTTAAAGTACAAAACTAAAAGAACCCCCTATTATGCAGTGTGCTGCATTTAAATTGTAAAAAAAATAAATGCTCTATAGTTCCAGGATTGTACTGAAACCGGTGGTTTGACAGGTATTTTTGTAGTGTATCCTACAGGTTATTTTATTTGTGTTTAAGTGCTCTCATGTTTACTTGTAAGGCATAGTGTGCAGAGACCTGTTTAAGTTATGGGAGAGTACTCGTATGGTGTTTTGAATGCTGGTAAACAAACCAGCAGAAGAAATGGGGAAGGAGGGGGGGGTCATGGAGCCTCCCTGTTTATAAATGTTTATATATATTTTGTTTTACTCACTAATAGTGTGCAAGTGAGCTAATGTGAACTGGAGTAAAGGTGATGTTGTAGTGTAGTAGATTGTAGGTTGTATATACATTACTATTAATATACTAGATTTTTGTAGGTGATTTTTTGTCCTTCCTTATAATAATTATTACTGACTAATTAATTAATGTTCCACATTAAATGTGAAGGCACAAGCTGGCCCTAGTGTGTTTTTTCAGTGTTAAATAATATTACCCCTAGACAGCAGGTTGAGCAGCCTTTAGGAGCCAGAATTTTTATTTAACCCTTTCAGGGTCGCCAGGCCCTCTCCTAAACTTGTTCCCAGGGTCGGAAATTTTTCGGGGAAAAAAAAAAATCTTCTAATGAAATGATAATCTTTTCCCGATCATAATGACACCAAAAGTATGAAATTTGATGGAAAACTTACGGAATTATGCTCTCGCGAAGTTAGCGGTCTCGACGATGTTTACGCATCAGCGATTTCGCCCACTTTGAGCCCTATTATCGGCCAATTCCAATGTACCAGTCGACAAAAATCATACCTATTTCACTAAAACTCATTTTATCTATAGAATGAGTACAAGAAACCACCCATTTACCAATTTCAACTAACCAATAACGTGGTCAGAAATTGGCAATTTTGCCAATTTCACACAAATTTCAAAAGATGCCAATTTCCAAATAGGGTCCAGAATAAACAAGACAGACATTCCTGGCACTAAAATAACATTTCCTCTGTTCATTACTCACGTCCCCAGGCCTCTGTTATGTTTCTTTTGCATTCCTCTTTGAATTTTTATTCTCACAAAAAATAGAAGATTTATGTTATGCAGACTACTGCATTCGTGTAGAAATGGTATAAATAATATCAGCGCACTTGCTAAAGAATATCAGACTCACCAGTTGACGTGTATTGGACGCGTGGCACGATTTGTTTACCTTTGAACTTTAGCAAAAATTGAACATTTCTGCTACTTTGAGCTCAATTTCAAGGTACTTTTCATTGTGAAACCAATCAAAATCATCTCAATTTCCATAATATGTCTTCCATTCTATAAAATGAGACCAGGAAAACTAGAATACAACCAAAAATAGCATACAAAAATACACTGCAAAGTCGCTGCTTTACACCAAAAACATGGTCGGAGTTTTTTTTCTCATTATGCACTGCGTGCTGCAGGATTTTTTTTATGCTGCGCACACTGACCACATAGACCCATTCTTTCATATGTAGGCCTACCAGCTTTCTATCGCTAGATTTGAAGGCACTAGAATTTATGCGTACTAGTACGGCACCAGCCCTGGCATGCAATCCGTACTAGTACGGCACCAACTCTGAAAGGGTTAAGTTACCCAAGCTGTAACACCTCCAGTTATTTCACACAGTCTAATAGAAAACTATATACTCTATGAACCTTATTATAAACACTACCCCTAAAATCCAGAACTTTGAATATTTCAAGCATGTTAGCCAAACTGACTTTACTCAAGACACTACAGTCAGGTGACCTGGCAGACATGTTAGTGACCCAATGCCTTCCACACCTGATTTCTCTTCATCTAAATACAATACATTCATAATCTCTCATATCTGTATTGGATTGATAATGCATCCAGGAGAAAAAGTTTCCTAATAAAATGCACTAGTATAGCACAAGTGGCCTTTTACACTTACCTTGTACGTAAGTTTGAGCTGGTGTGATGAGAAGTAACGAGGGGGATCAAAAATAATGTATTCTGCATCTTCTGCCATGAGGCCATGATAGTTGTTTTCCCGGCAAAACGCAATAACCTCCTGATGGTGATCATCCATTGTGCATAACTGCAACAAATGTTAAAATTTGTATTTGAGTGAAATGGCTATTCAACAAAGACAAATATAAAAGAGCTACAACAGGTAACTATATGATTTTTCTTCCATGCTATATCGAACATGTTAGAAGGAACTGTGGGAATTGCAGACCACCAAGAACCAATGGTAAATACACTCCATACAATAAAATATATGCACTACCAAGCACACTACATTATATACAGGCAACTACTTATGTCCCCCCCTATTCCTGCATTTACATAAAATGGGTGCATACAATTGTTTCCCAGGGCTGAAACTCCCATTTATAACATTGCGCCTACAATAATGTTTTGACTTACGGCAGCTCGCCTACTGGTGACTCGCAAAACCAATCGAGTTGAATGTAGGAAGATTACCTGTATACTCTTAACTAAAACACACACACATTCACATCCACCACATAAAACAAATATAATAAAAGGTTAAAAAGTTCATGTTTAATCCCTTGCCGAGGTCTCTGTGAACATCCTAATTTTTAAAATAGCAATGTCTATTCTGAATGGCTGAAGATCAGGGCATACAGTTCAAAAATAAGCCAGTCAAGAGCATGCAACAAGAAAACACGTGGAAAGGAAGTTCCCTGGTGAACAGGTAACTATAAGCGAGAGAAAGGGCTCCATCCCCAATGACAAAAAATCCTCTCAGAGTAATAATTACTGTATACCTGGAGAGAGTTCCGGGGGTCAATGCCCCCGCGACCTGGTTTGTGACCAGGCCTCATGGTGGACCAGGGCCTGATCAACCAGGCTGTGTTACTGCTAGCCACACACAGTCCAACATATGAACCACAGCCCGGCTGGTCAGGTACTAACTTTAGATGCTTATCCAGCGCCTGCTTGAAGACAGCCAGGGGGTCTATTGGTAATCCCCCATTATGTATGCTGGGAGGCAGCTGAACAGTCTTGGGCCCCTCACACTTATTGTGTTGTCTCTATCGTACTAGTGGCACCCCTGCTTTCATTGGAAGATGTTGCATCGTCTGACGAGTCTTTTGCTTTCATGGGGAGTGATTTTCATGTGCAAGTTTGGTACTAATCCCTCTAGGATTTTCCAAGTACATTTTTTTTTTCAACAAGTCGGCCGTCTCCCACCGAGGCAGGGTGACCCAAAAAAGAAAGAAAATCCCCAAAAAGAAAACACTTTCATCATCATTCAACACTTTCACCACACTCACACATTATCCCTGTTTTTGCAGAGGTGCTCAGAATACAACAGTTTAGAAGCATACACATATAAAGATACACAACATATCCCTCCAAACTGCCAATATCCCAAACCCCTCCTTTAAAGTGCAGGTATTGTACTTCCCATTTCCAGGACTCAAGTCCGACTATATGTGAAAATAACCGGTTTCCCTGAATCCCTTCACTATTACCCTGCTCACACTCCAACAGATCATCAGGTCCCAAGTACCATTCGTCTCCATTCACTCCTATCTAACACGCTCACGCACGCTTGCTGGAAGTCCAAGCCCCTTGCCCACAAAACCTCCTTTACCCCCTCTCTCCAACCCTTTCGAGGACGACCTCTACCCCGCCTTCCTTCCCCTATAGATTTATATGCTTTCCATGTCATTCTACTTTGATTCATTCTCTCTAAATGACCAAACCACCTCAACAAACCCTCTTCTGCCCTCTGACTAATACTTTTATTAACTCCACACCTTTTCCTAATTTCCACACTCCGAATTCTCTGCATAATATTTACACCACACATTGCCCTTAAACAGGACATCTCCACTGCCTCCAACCGTCTCCTCGCTGCTGCATTTACCACCCAAGCTTCACACCCATATAAGAGTGTTGGTACTACTATACTTTCATACATTCCCTTCTTTGCCTCCATAGATAACGTTTTTTGACTCCACATATACCTCAGCGCACCACTCACCTTTTTTCCCTCATCAATTCTATGATTAACCTCATCCTTCATAAATCCATCCGCCGACACGTCAACTCCCAAGTATCTGAAAACATTCACTTCTTCCATACTCTTCCTCCCCAATTTGATATCCAATTTTTCTTGATCTAAATCATTTGATACCCTCATCGCCTTACTCTTTTCTATGTTCACTTCCAACTTTCTACCTTTACACACATTCCCAAACTCATCCACTAACCTTTGCAATTTTTCTTTAGAATCTCCCATAAGCACAGTATCATCAGCAAAAAGTAACTGTGTCAACTCCCATTTTGAATTTGATTCCCCAAAATTTAATCCCACCCCTCTCCCGAACACCCTAGCTTTTACTTCCTTTACAACCCCATCTATAAATATATTAAACAACCATGGTGACATTACACATCCCTGTCTAAGACCTACTTTTACCGGGAAGTAGTCTCCCTCTCTTCTACACACCCTAACCTGAGCCTCACTATCCTCATAAAAACTCTTTACAGCATTTAATAACTTACCACCTGTCTTACCTCTAATTCTTTCAATTATAACCCTACCGTACACTTTTCCTGGTATACTCAGTAAACTTATTCCTCTATAATATATATACATATAATCATGTATCTCTCCCACCTGCATTCTAGGGAGCGCAAGTTTAGGAACTTCAAGCATTCCCAGTAATTAAGGTACTTTATAGCAGTTATGTATGCCATGAAGGTTCTCTGTACATTTTCTATGTCAGCAATTTCACCTGCCTTGAAAGGTGCTGTTAGTGTGCAGCAATATTCCAGCCTAGATAGAACAAGCAACCTGAAGAGTGCCATCATGGGCTTGGCATCACTAGTTTTGAAGGTTCTCATTATCCATCCTGTCATTTATATAGCAGATGCGATTGATACAATGTTATGGTCCTTGAGGGTGAGATCCTCTGACATGATAACTCCCAGGTCTTTGACATTAGTTTTTCATTCTACTGTGTTGTTGGAATTTATTTTATACTCCGATGAACTTTTAATTTCCTCATGTTTTCCACATTGGAGTACAGTACGGCCCCATTTATATGGCGGGTTAGGTTCCAGGTTATTGCCAGAAAGCAGACATCGCCAGAAAGCAGAAAGTCATTTCCATTTATAGATGCACACAAATGCCAGACAACAAGTTTACACTAAATTATATTAAGTTAGTAATAGAACTAGGCATTAAAAACACGGTAAAAAGTAAAATACATGCACTGTACATTCATTACTTACCCTAAAGTATTTGTAACCTTAATGTAGGGTGAGAGGTGAGTAGTATTAATCTAGGTGAAGTAGAGCTTGGTCATACAGAATGTGAAAAAGACTTGGGTGTCATGGTAAGCAGAAATCTAAAGCCAAGACAGCAGTGCCTTAGTGTGCGCAACAAGGCCAACAGATTACTTGGATTTATCTCAAGAAGTATAAGTAACAGAAGTCCAAAAGTTATTTTACAGCTCTATACATCACTAGTGAGGCCTCATTTAGATTATGCTGCTCAGTTTTGGTCCCCTTACTACAGGATGGTAATAGACTCATTAGAGAACATAGAGAAGAATGACTAAAATTATTTACTGTGTAAGGAACCTCCCGTATGAAGATAGACTTAAAGCCTTAAATCTCCACTCTCTGGAGAGGCGTAGAATGAGGGGAGATATCATTGAAGTGTATAAGTGGATGACGGGCATAAACAAGGGAGACATTAATAAAGTACTGAGGGTGTCGAACCAGGTAAGAACCAGGAATAATGGATTTAAGTTGGATAAATTTAGATTTAGAAAGGACATAGGTAAGTACTGGTTTTCTAACAGAGTTGTAGATGCGTGGAACAGTCTTCCCAGTGGGGTGATAGAGGCTAGGACCTTGGGTAGCTTTAAGAAGAGACTGGACAAATATATGAGTGGGAGGGGCTGGGTTTGATTGGTGTCAAGGGGTACGGGAGTTATTTCTTGAGTAGCTTTAGGTAGATGTCGTTTTGATAAGGACCTGCCTCGTATGGGCCAGTAGGCCTTCTGCAGTGTTCCTACATTCTTATGTTCTTATGTACTTATTTGTAGGAAGTCAGGTGTAGGTAGCCCTGGCTCCCCATCTCATACTTAATACTATATATTTAAAACAGCCCAGAGAGTTAAAATACACATACAGTACACTCATTATTTATCTTCAAATATTTGTAGTCTTAATGTAGGAAGAGAGGTGAGTAGTATTTATTTATAGGAAGTCAGTGTAGGTAGCCGGTAGGTGTAGCCCATGCGGGCTACACCTACCGGTTACCTCACTGTGGTCCAGAGCCATATTATTAGCATCGACATGCCTTGTTCACTGAATTTAATCGTTTTTAACAACTACCTTTAGATGCCATCATAAACAAAGGGAGAAGTAATGAATAATTCATGCCGAAAATTGTAAACAAAAGTGGAGTGGGGGAGTGGCTCACTCAAACGCAGTTTCATATATGTTTTCTCTGATGGCTGAGCAGAGAAAACGTAATGTTATCCCTCCGCCCGGTTATGACACTCCTAAGCTTAGACGCCATCGTCTAAGACGCCATGGTATAAGAGGCCATGCGCTTGCATATTTCAAATCTTACCTTACTAATAGGTATCAGTATGTCACCATTAAAGACACAGCATCAACAACACAGCCACTTGATACTGGAGTTCCGCAGGGAAGTGTCCTTGGTCCCCTGCTCTTCCTCATATACATCAATGATCTTCCAAACGTATCTCAACACCTGAACCCCATTCTCTTTGCTGACGACACGACTTATGTCATCTCTCACCCTAATCTTGCCACCCTCAACACCATTGTTAATGATGAGCTGATCAAAATATCGACTTGGATGACAGCCAATAAACTTACGCTTAACACTGACAAAACCTACTACATTGTTTGGTAGCAGAGCAGGAGATACGCAAATTAACATTAAGATCGACAACACACTAATTGCCAGGCATAATGAGGGCAAATTCCTAGGCCTATACCTCAACAACAACCTGAACTTCAGCACCCATATCCAACACATAACCAAAAAAGTATCCAAAACGGTTGGGATCC